GGCTCATTATCACCAGAGGGAAAAAAGTCCAGGAAGCAAAAGTCATGTGGCCTGTGTGGGCATTTGTCTTATATTTTCTAACATGTGAAGACTTTTTGAATTGTATTTTTTTTATTTCATATCATAATGAGCCGTTTGGTCTTTCCTGCTCCAACATGTAGTGTGCTCAGCAGTTCTTGTCCTGCCTGGTGGTCCCTGTGACCTCCCTCTGCACAGCGTTTGTTTGAAGGATCATTCACTTGTTCTGCTTGCGGATCACTGGTGCTCTCGTTTCGAGTTGCTGTGCTGTAATAAGGAGTGGTTCCCGGGTCTGTTTGGGTTAGAGTCATCCATCAGCATAAAACTTCTTTAACAAGAGCGAAGAGTTTCAATGTGAAGGTTCTAATAGGTCACAGGCTTCATTGCTTTTTTGGGAAAAAAACATGATAGATTAATTTAGAATTGTGGATAAACATTAAGAAGATCATTCATTTAGCTGCATGTGAAACTGTTACTGCTGAACAGTGCTGAATGAAGTACTCAGATCCTTAAGTAAACGCACCAATGCCATGGAATAATAAGACTCTGTTAGGAAAACTGTCTCCTACTTTTACTACAGCATCAGGTGGTGCTAGCTTTAACCACTTACAGTACTGTTAGCTAGTTCAGTCCAGTATTTCTCATACTAGGGCTTGGGGCCTTCAAAGGGGCACAATATGAATCTGAACAGTCTAGGTGAAGATATAAAAAAAAGGGGGTGCATAAATTTGTGAGGTGCACAGAGTAGTTGATTAATATCGTATATTAGCTGATTCACAGAAAATTAAGATGCAACTATTTTATCACATCTTTATAAAATTCTCAGTTTTCTACAGTTTATTGATGAAGTGATTAATAGAGAAATTTAAGCAAAACCTTGTGAGATGATTAGAGGGGAAATGCTGTGGAGCTGTTGACAACTCATAAACACCTAAAACTTGACAAGGGGCCCCAAAGACATTTTCAGGGTCCTGAAGCAAAATAGTTTGGGAAACATTGGTCTAATGTTAGTAGTGTTTTTACTTTATTACACTTGTAACATGTTAATCTGGAAAGAACTTAATAATTGCACCTGTCAAATCATGTAGTAAAAAGTAGAGTATTTCCATTTGAACTGTAACTGGAATATAAAATAGTATGCAATGGAAATATTCATGTAAAGTATAAGTACTGTACTTTAATATTGTATGTATAGTACCTTTCACCACTCTGAATTTGAATGGGGCTATTCTTTGAGATCTTAAAAATCATTCATTCATTCAGCATGAGGCTCATTTTTCATATCCAATTAGACACTGAATTTGACAAGATCTGTGGAACCTTTGGTGTTTCCTCTCCTCAAATGCTTTAAACTCAGCCTTAGCCATAATCAGCTACAGCCGATTAATGCACTCTGTGCCACCAGGGACAGCGGGTCGCCATCGCTAAACTTCACAGAAAGTTTGACAGAGAGGGTGTGTATGTGCAAAAAGCAATCTCTCTTACAGTGAAGGGAGGTTGTAAAAAATGTCTTGAACTGAAAGTAACATTTATAGATAAAATCTTTTTTCTTTTCACAATGTTCTTGCAGAAAGGGAAAAAAACAGGAACAATGTAATCGATGAACCTGGGGATTAGGTTGACCTTTTTTCCCTCATTATTTTCCAGCTGTAAAATATTATCTAGCTGTAAAATATCTGTTTGTTTAGAATCAACAAACACTTGGGTGGTGGCACAGTTACGCAGTGGTTAGTACCATTGCCTCTCAGTGATAAGGTTCAAGCCTGGGTTGACCCAGGGCTTTTCTGTGTGGTGTTTGCATGTTCTCCCTCTGCCTGTGTGGGTTCTCCCCATGTGCTCCAGCTTCCTCCTAGAGTCCAAAGACATACACCGTAGGATGACTGGTGACACTTGCCCAATGTCAGCTGGAATAGGCTTCAGCCACCAGGCAAACCTATTCAAGAATAAGCGGCATAGATAATAGATGGATAAACACTCAGGCCAAGTTTGAATTCTGATAAGTGTGTTGTGCCCTGTTTTCTCAAGCATGACATGGAGTCTGCAGCTTCGAATTCAGTCTGTGTTGTCTGTGAAATCACTCAGGTTTTCACATTATTCCCTGCATAATAAACACTCAGTAGGTTATTCAGTTCTGAGCAAGGAATTAAAGGCATTTATGAATCCTATCATAGTAGGCTACCATTCAGTAGATAGTAATTTTTTAGTTAAAAAAAAAGAAGTGCATTGAATTTTGTGATTGTTAGTGGACTGGTGTACAATACATGGACACCACCTTTTTCATTTATTCATAACTTTCTTTTTTTAGGTCACTACAGAATGTAGTGGATAAAGTTACACACTCTACATTCCAAGTTTGGAGGTTGGTCCAGCACTGCTTCTACCATACAAAGATTAAGTGAGAAGTTGCAGGTTGAGTCTCTGTGTAATTTCTGCATTAATGTTAGCCTCTGGTGTTCAGTGAGGTGAGTAACAACAGCAAATCAATGTCGACACCTTCCGCGTTCTTTCCCCTTCATTTCCCTCCAGGCAAGCCAAACAAACAAATTGCAGAAGAAAGGAAGCACTGTAAACAAGCTATCGATGGCTGAGGTTAGTCAAGCAAAGCACATCTGCATTGTTATTGCTTTGTTGTTGAAGTTCATTTTAGGAAAATACTAATAAGCAGTTCCAAGGTAGTGTAGAGTATGTGAGGCAGGATGGTGGTGCATGCAGATGCAGCTTGCGAACCAAATATTCCAGTGCTTTTGTGCTATTATTTGTCTTTTAGTGTGAGAAAGCCACCCCTTTTATGTGACAAAACTACAGCTGCAAAGAGCTTGTGGAGATCTTCTGGAGATTGGTAGAATGAGTATGACCACCCAGTGTGAAATGAAGCACTTCTGCAGAAATAGAAGAAGCTAACTCATACAGTCTTTAATATGATCATATTTACTCTATGAATGGGCCTGAACTATTGCCTTTTACCATCTGTTAAAGTTGTAACCATACAATCATGACAATGGCAGAACTCTCACAATTCGATTATGGTCTACTGAAGCTATTTTGTTTGGAGAAATCGTATTTTTGCTAATTTTCTCCCTCTATCATGGGTGTAAAATAACGAGAAAAGACACCATTGCCATTTGATTTTGAGAGGATGACATGCAAATCTTATATTTTTGTTAACCTTATTGATATCTGAAAAAAATACTGTTTAGCATTGGACATATTATCACACCTTCACCAAAATAACAACAAGGGTGTTTTGTAAGAATAAGCTCTTAATCCATCCCTTCAGTGCCTGCTGTCATTATTTCCTTAATCACAATAACACGTGACTGCGTGTGTGCATGGAAACCTGTCTGCTACTTGAAGAATGTATATTAAAATGGGACAGACAAGCAAAACATACATGAAAGGAGTAGATGTGATTTTTGAGGAGATCTATATTTGTGCACCATGACCAGCTGTGCAAGCTTGCCTGGTTTATATTAAAACTGCTTTTACATTCTAGAGCTAGTGTGAAAATCAGCCAGGCCAATATAACAGAAGGCAGCACAGAAATGGATGTTAGGTTATTTAGAAACAGTGTCACTATTACAGAGTGTGAACTGTACTGTAGCATGAAGCACCAGCCAGTTGATCTTAGTGTTAAATCATCACCGTATTTTTGTATTTATTATTATTTCCAGAATATTGATAGCAGTATTGGTCTCAGCAGTGAGCGGTT